ATTTTTGGTATTAAACATCAAAATCGGCCGGCGTTTGGCCAAGATATGGCCGTTTGTAATTTTTGGTCGAAATCTTCAATCAGCCATATCTTGGCCAACAGCTGGCCGATTTTGATGTTTAATACCAAAAATGATACGTACTCTCTGAGACCTTTCCAACGACATATAGCATGTTGAAATTGGACAAGCGGTTTGAAAGTTAAAAATTTTGGGCCAAATTCATTCATAGGGGTATCCAAACTTATGGCCTGTGGTGTATGTTGTCTCATTTTTCGGAATAATTTGATACCAACATTAACGGTCATGTGTATTTATATATTCGAACGCATTTTAAGTATCTGCCCAATGAATATGTTGCATAGTGAATTCAAGTCGCGTGAATGCCCAACATAATGTTGTACATTTTGCATGCTCTCTCTCTACCTGTTTATTGGCCGATGAAAATACGCCACTGTTACATGCCGAGTATCGTTAACAATGGTATCGTCCCTGATGCAAAACCGACTGCTGCCAGTGCAAACATATGAAACGTGAACGTCAGATAGTTGACAGGATTGATTCGCATTTCCTTGGAACGAAAACACCCACAACGGGTCGCTGTCATCAGCACACAACTTTTACATTTTCACACGAAAATTGGAATGCCATCGTGCCGTGACCGAGTGGGGAGCACACATTTTCGAGAATTCCAAATTCCGGTTAATGCGAATATTAATTCGTGAATAAATACAAATAAATGTGAACGAAATTCAACCACCAATGCGCAGTATTCTGATAAATAAAAAAATATCCGCGAATTTAAATTTTCAAATAATGTACCACAAGTGGATCAAACCCATTGAAATAACCAGCATGTAATGTTTGACTCATAAACGAAAATATCAATGAATGCATGTATTTCTTGTGAAATATATCGTTTGCTCGAATATCTTTGTGACACTCATGGTATTGATGTCGCATTCATATATGTGATATAATGGGTGAATCGTTCGGTACAAAAATCAAAAATTCAAGAATTTTCATTGAAAAACCGGCTGAAAACAGAGAATCATTTGGTTTACAGCCCATTTTGATTGGCATATTAAAATGATTGAGAACCAAAAAATGTGTTCGAAATTCAATAAATTCAATATTTATTATTCATTTAAGCAGAACGTATTATGAGCTGACGTCAGCAGCACTAACTAACGTCAGCTACTGACGAGTATGCGTTGTTGTTTTAACGCATTTGCAGTATAAAAATGAGATATCCTCCAAACATACCAATGTTATGATTGCTTACCCTTTCGTTTTTATACTGCAAATGAGTTTACACAACGCAACGCATACTCGTCAGCAGCTGACATCAGCTCATAACACGCTCTGCATTTAAACGAAATGTAATATTCCCTTTTCATTGCAAATAAATCAAGATTTTTTGAACAAAAATGTTATTAATAAAGAACTAACCCTTTGATCGGTTCCTTTTTCATTGCAATCATGTATGTCTCGATATAAATTGTGAAACTCATAGCTGCAATTGCCTGTATAACATATGAATCAAATAACAGATTTATAATAATTACATTTCACTGACTGCGACAAGTGCACTTTACAAGAGTGCAGCAAACGTTTTTTTTTCTCGTCGAATTTAACTTTATAATTTTCGCACAATAGACTGTGTTGAATGGTGAATTTCCGGCGCGAATGAAAATGTTTTCAAAACATAGGATGTAGCTGAAAATTAATTTCGATGAGCACCTTTCTGGCAATGTCAGCCGCACAAAAGTATCAAAATGCATTCAAAAAATATTCATATATTTGCATTCAAAATTTAAAAAAAAGAATTACTTTTGCGCAGTATTAACGACCAACCAATGAAAAAAAATCGCTTTTTTCTCGTGATTCAACAGTCTTTCAATTTCATTGTGTGCAAAATTGCATGTGTTGTACCTCGGTTTCCGATCGTTGTTGCAGCGTTTGCATTTCGGGCGCAGTGAATGAAAATCAATAAATTCTAACAATTGCAATGTCGGAAACCATCGCCGGCTTTCGAAATAACCCAAACTGAATCGGTAATAAATTAATGAAACGGAAATCGAATTTATTAAGCATTTTTTTGTGTGTGTGTCCTCTTTCACTGCTTTCAACTCTCGCTGAATTTGTATGCATTTACTGCACAAGATTATGACATTCACTGTACCTCCCGCCCGCCAAAACACGTGCATGATTTTCATTGCGTCAATTGAATAATTCAAATGGGATAGCAAGAATTAATTTATTTGTTCGGCATGGAACGTCTACAATTTATGAATTATATAGAACGATACGAAAAGGGTGCCACAAATGGCCGGAGGCGAGGCGGAAAGTACAAACGGAAGGAAGGAAAACACGAAATGTGAATGGCACGGAATTGTCGGAAAAAAAAACAGCAACAACAACATTTTTCCACCGTTCATGTCCAAAGCTCGCTGGCTGCTTTTTTCTCTCCTCTTGTTGCTGTTTCGTGGCGTTCATTGCCTGAACATTTACATTTTATAATTTTTTTTTTCCAATCCCAAAATTTAGTAATGAAAATGAGAACGCTGCGATGACTTCGAAAGGAACGAATGAAGTAAAAGAAGAAAAAAAAAACAGAATTAATAACAGCTTTTTTTCGGTGGTGCGCTTGAATTATCTCATTCGCATATTTTCCCTCATGCTTGAGCTGGGCTTGTGTGATTTATGAATTTCCTTGAAGCAAAACAATTCGTTGTTTGCATTCGCTTTTTCCGCTCTTTCTTTCAACTTATTATTTCTTTCTCGCTCTCTCTCTCTCTTGCGCGCGCGCGCATTTCACATAACATTTGAATACATTATCATGTATGGATGCGAAAGAAACATGCTTTCTTTTGTTCATTTGTTTATTTTCGCGCTGAAGGGTGTTGCTTTGCATGGTGTTTTTTCCTCACCCTCTCCCTTCTCTCTCTCTCTCTCTCTCTCTCTCATCGCAAAGCGATGAGCATATAAAGAAAAATACAAGAGACATATACAATGAATGTTTTTTCGGTACACCATTTGTGTAATGCTGTTGACGTTACTTTTTTTTCACCGTCGCTGTTCTTGTTGTTGCTGTTCTCATTTGGGCTTTTCGTTTCGATTTTCCGGCAATGTGTTGCAGATTACGAGTTTTTAACGCCTCAGCTTTAGGCTCGCCCATTTTACTTTTTTTCTCCTTTTATTTTTTTTCGCTTCACATGTGTATATTTATAGTTAGTTTGCTTCGCCTTCGAAGCGTTCATATCCTGTCACGTACTTCTGTCGGATGTGAGAGAGATTTTATTATTATCATTACATTTTTACATTTTTCCGACGTATCTCCTGTTTGTTTTCGTCGCTTGTGCTGTCAAACCGTACGACCTATGGAGTTTGGCTAAAGCATGTATATACGTGGATGATTTGAGGATGAAAAAAAAATCCACCGGAAAGCTCAACGAACAAACATAACTGACATCTGCACTTGTAACAACACATATTGCATTCACGGGTCACCCGGAATGAGGTGGAGAGAAAGAGAGAGAAAAAAACAACCAGCAAAACACACATAACATATCCAGAGATATTTTAATGGGTTTAATCATTTCACGTAGCGAAAATATGAACGCGTTACTCTTTGCTTCATTTTGCTCTTTTTTTCTGCAGCGCAATTCTCAATTCAAACGAGAACGAGCACGCATAAACAACAAACCAGCAAACAAATAATTTTGTATGAAATCCACTTACACACAATATTTTTGAGTGCAAGGATAACCATCGCAAAGATCCCCAGACCACACCCGAAAGCAAACAGAGTGGAAGAGTGAGAGTGAGAAAAAAAAATCACATGAAAACTCATTTGACAATGAATGACCGTGTAGAAAACCCAAGGACAATGAATCCCATGCTTCGCTTGTTTATTTATTTATTTTTAATTTTCAGCTACAATTCTTTTTTTTCGCTCTCGCTCTGAGCTCGAAATCTGCGTCAACGTATGTTTTATGGTGTCGCTGCATTGTGGAAAAACGTTCATATAATAAACAGACGTTGGCCGACCGAGAACAGGAGGGTGCGAGAGAGAGTGAAAGCGAAAAAAATGGTAGAAAAAGCAAAGATAAAAATTAAATATGCATTTTACGCGTATGTGCATAGTTGTTCGAGTGCACGATATGTTGTTTATCGTTCAAGTTTTTAGCTTTTTTTCTCCAGAACGAGTGTACGCTCTCACGCTGCTCTGGCCATTGCAGACAAACTATGAACAAACTGCAACGGCGACGAAAATTAAACACAATTGCGTTGCGATACTATCATACTGTTTGTTTTCCCCTGGATTTGTGTTATTTTCCCGTTGCTGTAGACCCTCTGCAAATAATATTGCATGCGGCCCTGTAACACTCTCCTGGTCAACTTCTCGCAACCAAGCACAAACACAATGATCTTTGCTTTTTAACCTTTGCTAACAAGAGCTTTATTTGAGAAGAAGGGAAAAAAGAACGACTGAAAAAATCAACGAAGAGATTTAATTAATTCGAAAAGAGTCATTCTTTTAAGTGTAAATTGTCCAACAAGCGTATCTGGTAGAAATGTTGGATCAGTTTCTGTTCTATGTTTGATCAATGGTTGACAAACAAATACGTTCGCATCGCATGTGCGAAGTGTAAACAGAGCGCAGCAGATGTGTGGCATTCCGAAGAATTTGAGCAATCGGTTGAAAGAGGCGGAATTAATTAGCGATGAAAACAAGCGATGCAGAAAAATGCAACTTGTGTGCTGAATGCAATTTAGATCGAGGTTAATCTCGTTGTCACCTTCACTCTTTTGCTCGACGTTTTTGCTTATTAGTTTGATCTTGTGCAGTTCATACCACAGCCACCTACACACAAACACACACACATTTTCGATAATAAATCCAAACGAATTTCGAGCATGACATCCACAGTGTACTCATATCCATTTTTTTCCTTCTTTCTCTTTTTTCCCCTTCACTATTCGTCACATAAACACAGCATTACTATTTCATCGTGCAATGTTACTATCGGGATCGGGTCTAGCGCCATGGTCTCTAGTGAGCGATCCAGCTAAATACGCTGCCATTATTTCACATCATGTTAATTGTTCGCCGGATCTGGCATACTCACAATTGATGAAATGCTTGCGTGAACAATCGTTGGACGTTTTGCTATCAACGCCAATACGTCAGCCCGACTTTGGCAACGCATTTGGACCGAGTGTCGATGGTGTTGTTATCGGTAAGTTGAATTTGACTATTGTTAAATTATTCAGTGAAAGGAAACCTACGAAACGACTGGCTCCACCACGTACCAATCCATCGAAATGAACAAATGAAGATTATACACAGTGCACGTGGAAACGCAAAAAAAGAACAGGCGAGGCAAGGCGAGGCAAGTCGAGGCGAGAAGAGAACGGGTGAAAGAGATGAAAATGGAAATGGAGCGAATGCCAGCGAACCAACAACCGAATCGAATTTAGCAACTATTGACAATGCGAAACCGATAGCGAGCAATAGAATTGGCATTGGATTTTTATTCAAATGTAATAAACGTTGACCATTTGCCATAAAATATTCCCTCTGTTCAATGAAGTTCTTGATAAAATGCAATCGAATTTGCAATTTTAAATTGGAAATTGAATCCATCGAAGGGCTTTCTTTTTTTGTTGCCCCGTCGCTTTCTATCTCTCTCACCAATTCCGTATCTATTCTTCGATGCATGCTACCTCTTTCTGCATTGTACATCAAAGTCGCCGAGTAGCATTCCATCGATGATGACAACACTGCTGCCGCCAACGACAACGACGTTCATGATGATTTCCATTCAAACCATTTTAGACGCATGTCCATTACGGTGCCCGTTTGTAGCAGAATGGAAGAAGGTCATGCGAAAAATATACACGATTTCGCTTATTGACATTCTTTTTTTTGTCGGTCGTGTGCACTCACTCTCTCCGTTTCTCCTCTTATTTAAATTTGATTTTCAATTAAATTCAATTTGAACACATGAAACCGAAACACCATATTCCATTCCATCGCATTGCCATTATCCAATTTGGTTTCTAAATGCTGGTGTGTTGCCTTTCACCACTGTACACATCTATCTATTTCGTTGAACAAATTAAAAAAAAGAATAGACGCGCCCGATTCGCGTGCACAAGTGCAAACACATTGGATATCGCGTACGCGCGCGCGCGCTCACTCCATCGTTCAACATATTTCGTTAAAATTAAATTTGAAATGTTCATTGACTTCTCTTTTCCGTTTCACTTTACTTTCTCTCCTTCTTCTCTGTCTATGTTTCTCCCTCTCGGTCGCTCGCTCGACGTCTGGATGTTGTTTTTCTCACACTCGTATTTCTGTTTTTCTTCGTTCGTTGTGTGTACACGTTGTCAACGTCATTTAAAATTTGCAGACACTGACGAAATGGGGCAAATGGAATCAAACCACTACGATCACAATGCACGGCAATCGCAACAACGAGGTGGAAATCAACAACAACAGCAAAAATCAATCAATACACTTAACATGATTAATTCGGTTTTGCTACGAAAAACCGCCCTCAGCAAATTGTCAAGGTAAATAAATTTTTGTTAAAATTTTATGAATCATTTGACATTATCTTTAGAGCGATTTGCCCGGTTTTTTGTTCCTCTTCCTCTCTCTTGCTTTTTATTTCAGTACAAACATTTTTGTTTCAATGCGCCCCGGGACTAGAGTGGTAGTTGCGTGTATTCTTGCGATTTTCCAAGGAAATTATTATTTGCTGCGAATGTGTTCTGTTCTACGTGCCATAGATATACATATAAATAGACATTTCATCTGTTTTGTGCTTTTGTATCCATGATACTGATCGTGTATTCCGAAAAGGGTGATACAATTTCTTCCGCATATTCTCAAGTATACCCTTGAGCTAGGCTGGCTGTTTGATACAGTTTGTCATTCAAATTCGCATTTATTCAGTTCGGAATAAATATCACGGTGTGTGTGTGACATCCATCCAAATGCTCATACATTCATTTCAGGGCTTTTCCTGTTTACTTTTTTTTCATGTATGTCAAACGTTTATTTCAATATTTTATCAACTCAGCACGGTTGCCATGAGGAACGTTGCAAGAAAAAAGAGCGATTCTAGTGAATACTTTTGCTATGGCAATATATTTTACTGATTGAAAGTTTGGATCAATCAACACTAATCTTTATCCGGCTTACGAAACATTTTGTTTCGTCGAGTAGAAAAATCTCACAAATTTCTTTTACGCTCTCTCTGTGTTTCTCCCAAACACGAACCGATTTTATCTCGAACCAAATGTAATTTCAATTTCGACGTGTGGAAACACGTTTCTTTCAACACATGAACCGTTTTTCTACTCACTTTCCAATTTTTTTTGCTCGTCTGGTTCATTTTTTTTACTGTTTATCGTGCGGGATATCGACAATTTTTGTAATATACTAGTTTATGTTTCGTATGCATACAAAATGAAGATAGTGATTCAAAATTGAAATTGATGTCTCGTCGTCATCATAGTCATCATACAATCTAAGGGTTCGACACATGAGTGTATCCAAAGTGTACTGAATATTGATGTGTCGTTTTCATTTTCGCATTTAATTTTCGCATATTTCCATACAATCAAGTTTTCAATTTATTTACTTTTTTTCCTCTGGGCGCTCTCGAGTTTTATGTTAAAAGAGGACGGAAATCCATTTGCTTTTTTTTAAATCAATTTTTAGTTCATATCTTTTCGTCCCAAATTAATATTGGATGTGTTTTTCCTCACTCCTCTGCAAATAATTTCATCTTTTTTTGATTGATTGACCACTTTGAATGGGGTGCACACAGGTACGATATGCTCGTCGGTGTTACACGTGCTGAAGCATATTTTGCATTCAATTCGGAGGATGTGCAGTACGGTATCGAAGCGGATCGACGTTCGAAAATTCTGCGAACATACGTTCGAAATACATACAGTTTTCATTTGAATGAAATCCTAGCAACCATTGTAAATGAGTACACCGACTGGGAACGACCGATTCAGCATCCAATTAACATCAGGTATTAATTGATTGCGTTTGAAAATATCGACATGTTCTAAAAAAAATACACACTGGTTTTTTTCTTTGTGTCTCGCCGCAACAGAGACGAAACATTGGAAGCTTTGAGTGATGCACAATATGTAGCGCCTGCAGCGAAAACCGTCGATTTACATTCAGCCAATCATCGAAATTCATTCCTCTACGTGTTTGACTATCAAACGAAGTTTGGCGATTTTCCACAGGTGAGTTATTAGCAGCAAATTTCATTCTATTTATGAACAATTAATTTCAAAAACGGACTGTGGACTATTTTGATCAATGTTGTCATGATCATCATACAGCTTTTGTTAAATGTTACAATTTTTGTTCTATGTTATGCAATTTATTAATTTACTTCATTTATCCAAACAGCGTCAGGGTTGTATCCATTCCGAAGACTTGCCTTACAGTAAGTACATACAAAGATAAAATCAATTGCTATATTTTGCTTCAATACTTTCCAATAAAAATTACACGTGATCATGAAATTTTACCCAATTTCAGTATTTGGTGCACCACTTATTGGCGGGTTCAATCATTTTGCGAGGTAATTCACTTTTCTTTTGTTAGACTAGCTAAGCTGATTAAACGATTTATTCCATTATGGATGGTATTAATGATGAATTAACGGAGCGATTAGCTCAAATTTAATGCGCAGCCTATCAAATCTTAGGATTTACTAATACTAAGAATACACGTAAAATAGTAATCTAATGCACATCCAATTATCCGGTATATTTTTGCAGAAACTATACCAAATCTGAAGTATCGCTATCGGAGTCAGTGATGCTATATTGGTCGAATTTCGTTCGAACTGGGTAAGTTTAAACCTCTAATTATAGCAAATCATTGCATTTTCCATCACAAAAAAGTGATAACTAAAGGAATTTAACGCATAAAATTTACACACAAATAAACACGCACACACACACAGAAACCCAAATGAGCCGCCGGAACCAGAGCATGGTGGTCGGCAAGAGAAGAGCCGCTTTAAAAATATCGAATGGACACCATACGAAACTGTGCACAAAAAATATCTTAATTTAGGTGAGTATCATAACAGTGGTTGAAATTAGTTTTCATCAAACTGAAATTTGTTCGGTGTTTGATGCGCTTTGAGGAAATAATTAGTTTGGAGGCAGTAATCAGTATCGAATTTCAATTTCATTTCATTTCATTTCATTTCTTTTCGATTTTATCATTACTTTAGATACGAAACCGAAGCTAAAAACGCATTATCGTGCGCATCGTTTGTCATTTTGGTTGAATTTGGTGCCTGATTTGCATAATTCGGGTAATGACGATGTTCCTTATTCGCATCATCAATTGGTCGATGATGATACGGATCGGCCACCTGTTGGGCCAACTGTGAAACCGTTAAATCCACCGCAAGGCAAAGATCCGGGTCGAAGCTCCAACTACTCACTATTTACCACACAAATGTTTTCGCTGTTGAATCTTTCGTCACAGAATAACAAATCGAACCAACGAGTGGCGAACGATTTTGGTGACGATCACGAAACAAATGAGCTCCATGGCACCGGTAATGGTGGCTCAAATGACGATGGTTTTGCCGCCTATAGTACAGCATTAAGTGTAACAATTGCCATTGGATGCAGCCTGTTAATTCTAAACGTGCTCATCTTTGCTGGAGTTTATTATCAACGTGATAAAACCCGGCTGAATGAGCCCCGAAATGGCAGTGGTTCAACGCAAATAGGACACGGCACACTGAATAGTGTGCTGAAGAAGCGCAACGAAAATGGTCAAATGCCAAATAATATTTGTGGCGAGCTGGAAACACTTACGATTCATTCGAAAAGTGACCCGGCCACAATATTAAGTCATCATCATGCGATGCAACATCATCAATTGCCACCGCCCGAATTTGCTGACATACCACAACGAGCACCGCCACCGCCCAAGCATGTGAAAACCATGACAATCATGGACGGTGGTATGAGCGTAGCGACAGCGAATCAAATGCTTCCGGCCCATGCATTACAATTAATCGGCGCCAATTGTACGGGAACGTTGCAGAAGAAAAGCTGCGTGAAAATTAGTAATTCGGCTGCAAATAGCCAACAACAGCAACACCAACACCAACAACACCAACAACAACACCAACAACACCAACAACACCAGCAACATCAGCAACAACAACAACAGCAGCAATGCCATAGTCAAAATCAAATGGATGAACTACGTGTGTGACGTTAGTTGAGTGTATTCGATAATACTAATGCCATTGACACTGTATACGATGAAACTGTATTTTGAATTGTTAGCTTTTGCTACAAGAAGGAAAGAAAAAAGAACGATTTCCTTTTTGTGTTAGTGTTTCATATTGTACATCATGGATTTGAAATTGTTGCGCTGCATCCGCGTTCGATATTCAGCACGATGATGACATCCAAGCTTTCGAACAGGGTGTGCAGATTGTAAGGTTCCATATTTTATACAATATTTTTCAAACATTGAACGTTCTTGTTTTGTTTGATCTCGATTTGTTAGTAAATTTCGCATTCCTTTCTTCAAGCTTACGAAAGCAAGTGTATTTCTATTGAAACTATCATAAATGAGTAAAAAGCACTCAAATACATTAAAATTACCAAGGAAAAAATAATAACACGAAACATCATCATTAACAACTATGCCCACATTCATGGTGGTTTTTCGTTCACCTTTGAGAAAAAAAACTCCGCTCTAATAGTTAAAATGAACTTTGTATAAATTACCATATGAATTTCAATAACCTGTAGTATAGTGTGTGCGAGTGAGAAACTCGAAAATAAAAACTCGTCTAGATGTTCATTTTTCATACTTGATATAACTCATGAACTGTGGTGTGCACGGAACATTCGCGATGCAATTTCCATAGCAACGTGAAGGCACAGAGAGGAAGAAAAAGTAGTCAATGTGTGGTTCGAAATAGAATTGCGTATCCTATCGTTAACTCTTCACTCTGCCGATGATGAACTGTGCTGATGATAGTGGAAATATTAACCAATCGACCAAACAGAAGAGAAAAATTAATAATTATTACAGCAGGAAAAAAAACCATACAAACACTATGTATGAAAAGGTAAGCATTTTTTGGATTGTTACATTTTCTGGCCGTTGGTTCGTTTATTCATTTTCAAAGAGGAAACAAAAAAATTAAATGTAAATAAATCTAATTAAAAATGAAATAGTGTGTGATGAAAATTCGATGAAAAGTTGCCGAGTTCCACATTTTTCGCTCTCTTTCTCACTCTCTGAGAAGAGTAAATAAGCGAAAAGGACTTGCATGTACCCATTTAACATTTAACGAGTTAAATGTAAACATTTTCTACATATCGACGATTCAACAACCCAATAAAATGAAATGAAAAATAAAAACACAAAATCAACATACAACCCATTGAGCATTTGACCGGATGAATTATAACATAGAGAATTTAATGGGCAGCAGACAGAAAAAAACAACAACATCGAAATAAATTCGCAATTTCTCTTCCGCAATAAATAAATCTTCATTATATTAAAACGAGACCCAACAAAAATTGTGATCTTATTTTAAATTACAATTTATTTATGCGATGATTAAATGCGATTATTTTGTACAAAATCATTTGTCGAAGGAATTTTCAATTGTTTGGTCATCAGTGTGCGTCTGCACACACACACGCACACATAGTGGAAATTCCGGTGAAGAACGCAATTTTAATTGAATATTTATGGTATTTGTTTTCCGTTTCGTTTCTCAAAAAATGCATGTATCGAATAAATTGTTCCGCTTTTTATTTAGGGCGAATGCAATTTATTTTAATAATCGAACAAAAAAGGCAACAACAACAGTAACATACGCAAGTAATAATTAATGAAAAGAGTCAACACAGCTCCAATATCCAGCATGAAACTTCGTCGTTCACCCCATCTCTGGGCTCCTGCCATCAAATTAAAGCGAAACACATAATTGGCTTGCTGCATCCCAAATGAGGCCCAAACACATTTTCGGTGATTTTGATCCTCTGAGCTCAAACAATCCAATAAATTATATCAATTAATAATAAATCAATGTAATTTAAATTCGCTCACTAATTCCGACTGCAGCTCGGATGCAGCATATGCATTACTGCCTCTGGGCAAACGGAAAAAATACGTTTTTTTTATAAATGAAAAAATGCATTTCCGAAAAATGCGATCTCCGTATTTTTGGCAGGGATTGTGTATTCGCTGCTGAGTAGGCCTAAGCTGAGCTAAATTTGCTAACTCAGGCGCCTGAAGCGTTATTTTAGCACATTCACTGTGGTAAGATGTCATTGATATCAAAGATCCATGTATGCGCTGAAATACCGATTCAGGCGCCTGAGTTAGCAAATTCAGCTCAGCCCAGGCCTACTCAACAGCGAATACACACTCTCTGATTTTCGGTTGAGTATGAAAAAAACAGCAATATCCGTTTGGAGCGGACTCGTCTCTTAGCTGTGAGGTCATGCGAATAAAAAAAAAGTCAGCATTTTATTTATTATTTTTTTCAAGTTCTTCGTTCCATTCAATCATGTTGAATCGTCTATAATTCGGTAATACATTAATAATATAAATGTGAAATTTCCCATTATTCAAATGAAATCGAAAGAAAGTCAGTCGACTGGCGAAATTGAGTGTTTACAGATTTATTGTAGAGTTAATGTCAAAGAACTCATAACAATACATTAAATTTATGTCGACATATGTGGAAACGTACACAAATGATTGGACATGGAGGATTGACAGTGGAATCAGTGAATACGACAAAAAAGACTGAATTTAAAAACGCATCACACAAACAAGCACAACAAACGCTTCAAATATATCCGCAATCGGTCATCCAATACATTCCCCTTAAAACGATTTTCCATTAAAATTGATGCAATATACGTATCGTTAGTTAATTGATGAACAAATTAATTACGACGATTAAAGCTCTCGCACCACATCCGATTTGTGATTCCAATCCAATTCGAAAATGTGTTCAATGCAGATGAAACTCTTTGAAATTTTGTATGTTAAAAAAACCAATCCGTAATTCATGTATTCAAAGTTATTGGTGTGCTCATGGAACTCATAGTTGACGAGCCATGAATCTTATAAAATGTGAATGTTTTCTTCTCTGAAAGCAAATAGCTTTGTACAAAATGTAAATACTATCCTATTTGTAAGGTAAGCGATATGTTAAGCTAGGTAAATTTTCCAAAACAAAAGACATGTACTAGAACTATTTAGCGATATTTAATGATGATTCAATCATCATAGGAGACAACAAAAAGAAATCATCTCTATTTAAACCCGATATTACTGTAATAGGATCATAGAATAATATTTAAAAAAATGATAATTGAAATTCGATAATGAAATTAGACATTTTAATGGAATTTGAATTAAATAATCCAATATAACGGAATACAGTCGAACAAACGAACAAGAACACATGATGTTTATTTACATGGATGGTTTTAGGATAACTAAATAATAACATAAACACACACACATACGATCACGTGTTCACGGCTGATTCTAGTGATAAAACGTTGAATGCAAGCGAAAATGCATCTATTATAACACGTTGACAGCATATTCGATGACACAGATCTCAAACAAATAAACCATTTGAGAAGAAAAAACAACATACACACATATTTAATTCATTCAATTTTACCATTAGATCTTAAATTAATGCATATTTATCCGAAATAAACGAGCTGAATACTAGTCCCGCACATATACATATTTGCGAGGACGAACAGAAGTGCGACGGTGATGTGAAAGTCAGATGGATAATCCCTATAAAAGAGAAACGAAAAGGTCATAAACAGATAAAATCATAAAAATCCAAAGACATGTTTAACGAGTTTAATCGATTGATATTAAAATCAAATAAAACAACCAACCAAAATGGAAATCACTTACATTTAAGTAAATTTATCACTATTTTAATCGGAAGTCATCGTTATTTAAAAAAAAATTAAAAAAAACTTCTAATTAAGACAGGACGTACTAACGGGCAGTAAACAAAATTTAGTGTATACTTCCGTGGTGAAAAAAAAAAAATCCGTGGACAATGTTATAAAGAAAAATAAAAACTAATAACAAAAAATTCGCTCCCTCTCTCTCTCTCTCTCTCTCTCTCTCTCTCAAATATATGATTTCAATTTTCAGCGGCAAATACTGAATGATGAAAGGTGAGTTGAAACGACAGCGATCTATTTAATACAATTTTGATCGATTCAACCACTTTTTATGCGAATATTGGGTATTTTATTAATTTTAATGAAATTGTCACCATCTCAAATATTCGTTGCCTTTTCAAATGAAACCGCATTTTCAAATAGCTTTAGTGTAATTAAATTTAATTGCATTGCCATACATTGTCATAATTGCTTATCAAGTGCAGCTATTTTGTGGTGTTTTGTGAAATAAATATTAACAATTTCGAATTGGCAACCTAACAACAACAAAAAACACTCCCATCACAAATGATAAGAACTGTGCAAACGCACAACTCAGACATCAATGAAAAAAAGGCCTGATTCCATGTACAAATCGACACAAACAGCTAGCACAAACGAAAAAATCGCGCAAATTAGTCACATTCCGTCTATTATTGAGATAAATATATAAAGTTAATAAGTGTATTGAATAAAAAAATGATAATTTTTCGAATAATTCCGCTCAATAAAATTAATATTGACCTTAATAATTTTTCCGTTGCTAGTGGTGGTGGAATGGCAATTTTATATTGATTTTGTAACTTTATGTTTGCGTGTGACATGGAATATCGCATCGGGAAAAAAGGTTCCAATCATTAATTCATTTCATTTTTCCATGGAAGCGGAAATGCTTGTAATTATATTCGTTCCACGTGATCGAGTCCGTCGACCAACCTAACGACAAGGTGTATCAATGCACAAAGGATTTTTTCTCCCTGGACTTAATGTGGTAGTAATCGATTGGGGACGCTTTGCTAAATCGAAAAAAAGCCATTTCAGTATAGAGAGAGGGTGAGTATCCATTTGCAATCGACAGAAAAAAGAGCTGGTCGAATTTAGTTGCGAATTATTAATCCGTCGCCATGAAAAGAAAATATCATCAAAACTGATTGTGCGAATATATTGAACATTGTATTACTAAAGCATTAATCATGGCATGACTCTCGCATACGATGCATTGATGCTGGGAATTGAGTTTCACTGACCATTGCGCTCGATTTACATAACACAGAATGTGAAGTACCAAATGTCTGATTACGCTTTTATCTATGCTGCCTCCACCCCCCAACAGTTGACTCAATTTATAAATGGCATGCGATTTGGTTGCTATTCCGGAATGCAGAAAGGGAATTTCAAATGAGCGTTGAGTGCTGGAATTCCAACATTCGAATGACATTTGCATTGAGGGCGTAAATCAAAATGTGAACTAAATACGCTGGGATTGTAATTTAAAATAATAAATTAAAAAACTAAAACTGGTTATATCAGAATTATTTGCTGGAATTCTGCCTCGATATCGGATTCTCTCTCTCTCTCTCTCTCTCTCTCTCTCTCTCTCTCTCACACACTCTCTCTCGCTCCCTCTAGGCATTTCGAAATTCGAATCAAAATTTGTTTGTTTTCGGGATACGCGATATCCACGCAGCGGCTAGCTTCAGTTATGTCATATTTTTTTATGTTTATCGGGGTAGAATTTTTATTCGATGAGCCGTCACATAACGTGCGTTTAGCATTCTGTTGGCTTTTATTTCGTTCAACCCCGAAATTTTATTGATGTCATTTGAATAAATTCGCTTTTGGACGGATTTACAATTTTGATATCGATATACAAATACACATATATATCGGCACACTAAAAGCATTCCGTAAATGCAAACATCCAGAACATATAAATATTATTATAGATATGTGTTATCAGCAAAATTTAATCTATTTTATGATTTTAATGCCCATGTGACGTGTATTTTATTTTTCCGTTCTATTTTTTTCTTCTTTCATTCGCTGTTGTCGTCGTCGAACGCTGTTGTCCTTGCGTAACTGTGTAATTGAGAGAGACACAAGCACTCAATGTGAACGGCGATTTCAATCGAATGAGAGATGATCGGGGGGGATTGAATAAAAATGTCTTTTTTTCCATCTCCAGCATATTGGATCCATTGAAATTGAGTTTTGTGGAGCTGTTTGAATTTCCGTGCAATTTACGATGGATTATAAATGTGAATTGGTACGTATTGCAAAATGTTCGACGCAAAAAGATTCAATTACATTGCCTCGAAGGTTGATGTGTTGTCACTAAGCATCAAACTGTTTTCCATGGCTAAAGTCAGTTTTAATTTGTGAGCGCGGCAAAATTGGTTTTCCTAAGATATTCTCTCTCGCCACACTTCATGCGGCGTTGGAATAAAAAGAGCAGACGAAAAAAAAATCCTGAAAACGGAACAAAGCGGCTATTTGTAAATGAAAAACGTGTGAACGCACGAGAAAAGGAACGTGACTGAGGTGGAAACACCATAAAAACGCATTATCCATCGCATGCCATGACCTTCATTAAATTCAATTTGTCCAACAACGAACGTAAGTGTACGCAATACCCCTCCGACCTGGTAAAAGTTTGAGCCAAAGTAGCAGCGAGATGGGTGGGTGTTGTGAGTTCTTCACTTCGGTTTCGTCGTCTGGTTTCCTCCATTACGAGTTCATTCCAATTTGAGCAGGAGATAATTTCGCAAAGTGTTTGTTCCACACAAAAGGCTGTGATTTAATGTATCATTTGCTTACTTTTTCGGCATTTAACCTTATGAAATCTTCTTTAATCGATATCAATTATGTAGTAATTTTTCGGCGGCTCTTCAATCCCTGTGCCAATGTATTTTATCCACTTTAGTGTAATGCTGAAGAGTATTGTCGTGTAAGTGGAATGGAGGATGGAGATGCTGTGTGCTTTTGAGCCCTGTCCATACGCTTGTATGTGTGTGCGTGTGTGTGTTCGGCGCAGTAAGAATATTAACGAGTCGCCGGTCATTAAATATTTGTTACATTAAATCCAATCAACACAATGCGCTACAGAAAAACATTGAGTGAGTCGTTAATGCTATCGATAGATGTGAGAGAAAAGACCGGAAAATAAGCGAGTTTATAAAATCAAATTATAATCATAAATTACATTGAACTTAAGAGAGTACGAGCAAATGAGTGAAGGGAATTCCAGAGTCAAGTGTTTTGCCATTTGCAAAAATCATTGCTGCCATCCGAGTAACGAACGAAAAGTTTAAGAAGAATTATTTTTGATGCGTCTATAAACTGTGGCTGAAACTAGCTTCATTCTACGATTCGTTCTTTTGGTGAATCCAAGTGATAGTGCATGTTTTGTGGCATATATTTGCTGCTATATACGATTCGGAAGCATGTTCGCATCAAGTCGTATTAAACTAGCAGATAAGTTTCGATACGTCACATACGACAATCCAATAAATTACCGTCGCATAGCTCTTTTCCCGCCTCCTTCACTCTCTTTCCCTCTATTTCCATCTCAACTGGATGCAGTCATGAATACCATCCAACGAAATGTTCCCAATTCTCTCATTCTCTTTCTCGTTCGCAAAGCATTTGTATGCGCTTGATATGGTTGAATGTTTCTATCATCTCGGCGACTTTCCAGCAAATATCTGCTCACACACTATTCTACGTGCGCTCAGTACACAATCTGTAATATTTTCAGTGGTGATAAAATGTTTAATTGATGTCAAAAACTTACGCTTTAAATTATTGCCATTTAAAATGTTCGCCAATTTTCCGGCGCAAAAATTAAATGAGTTCGAGTGAGCGAGCGAACGAGCAAGGGAACAAGAAGGAGTGAGAGAGAGATAGACAACGAGTGCAAACGTGTCTATGTGTGCGTGTTTTTACCAAAGTATCAGACGAATTGAGCCGGAGCACCAAGTTTATTGCACAATAATTATGCACCATTAAACACTCACTTTGGCAAATGAGAAAATTTGCAAAAGCATTTTACATATTAATATAGTGTTATACTAATGGATGTGCGTCAAATCGTTTGGTGGCTTAGTAGCAGCCGCCATTCTGAAGCTGGTTCACCAATGCGATTACAGATTAATGGCAGAAAAACAATGCACACACATACTTTACTCACGGTATAGCATGGTGCCACCGAAAATACATCGTTGCTTTGATTCAGACAATTTCAAAATTTCCAATTGCATTTCCACAAAATTCCAACAGATTCAAACATAGTAAAGCAGCATCTAGGGTATATTCCATCCCAATTTTAATTCATTTCACTTGTGATTTTTTTTATCTGCAAAAAAGTACTACAATTTATTGCCGTTAACAAAATGCAAAAATGTGCCCTAAATTCGATGAACGAAAAATCGACATACTCCTGCTTCGCCGTATTCTTGGTAGTTTTTAACCAAATGAACATTGAACTACGGTTATATCCCTAGACCGAGATACGATGAAACATTTTCAAACGAAATATACTTTCAACGGTAACTTAGTAATAATAAATTGCTATCAACAAAAAGAGTTACACATTTTAACCCTCGAATGCATTAATTTTTCCCAGGGCTGGGAGTACTGGTACTTGGTTGATTTTTGGCCATAATTAATTAAAAAAATATTCATGATCCTGGATTCCTCATGTTCTAGTCAGAAAATGCGATTGACATAAATCAGAGAACAATCAAATCCATTGTTTAAGAGTGTCAAAAATTTGTCTAATTTAGAGTTCGAATAATTTATTTTGTCAAATTTATGTTTTTGCATACATTTTTGTTTATAACTTTACAATCACACTACATAGACGAATATTGCAAAAGACAAAAATAAAGAGAGAACATTGACGAATAAAAATTCTGTTCGAAGCAATGTGATCCGTGCCGGTATTCTACAACACATTCCGAACACTTTGTTCGGAATTATTCTGAACGTTCAATTCCATTTTGGAAGGTGGCACGAAAACGTTATATATGGATTTGTATCTATTGATTGAACGTTTGG